CCCCCTCCCCTGGGCGCTGACCAGCCCCCTCTCCGCAGGGAGTACCGGCACAAGGACAACATCACCTTCAATGACAACGACACGGTCTCCTTCCTCGAGTACCGCAGGTTCGAGTTCCAGCCCCACAAGTCCAACGGCTTGGAGAGCGACTACATCAACATACCCAACATCATGGTGCTGGTGAGGCGCCCGCGGCCGCCCTCGCCCTTAGCCAGATAGGTCCCTTGGTGGGCTTCTCTCTCTCTCTCTCTCTTAATATATTTTTACTGATTTCAGAGAGGGAGAGGGGGAGAGAGAGAAACATCGATGATGAGAGAGAATCACTGACCGGCTGCCTCCTGCACGCCCCACACTGGGGATCGAGCCCGCAACCCGGGCCTGTGCCCTTGTCCGGGCATTGAACCGTGACCTCCGGGTTCCTAGGTGGACGCTCAACCCCTGAGCCCCGCCGGCCAGGTGCCCCTGGGGCTCTCTGCCTTGAGGCCGGGCTTCAAGGCCCCGGGGGACGGGCCGGCCACGCCCAGCTTCTGACCCCAGCTGTCTCCTCGCTCTGCAGAGCGCGGCCATGATGATGGAGACGAAGCCCATGGCCCTGAAGATACTGATGACCATGGCCTTCAGCAGCCTGCGCCAGCGCGCCTTCATGAACCGCACGGTGGGCGAGGTCATGTGGGGCTACGACGACCCCCTGGTCAGCCTGGTCAACAAGTACCTGCCGGGCATGTTCCCCATGAAGGGCAAGTTCGGGCTGTTCGCGGAGGTACGCGCGGCTCGGAGACCTGCCCTCGTCCTCCGCCCACACATCCGGGAGGCCAGTCGCCAGCTTTTTAAAAAATATATTTATTTATTGATTTCAGAGAGGAAGGGAGAAGGAGAGAGAGATAGAAACATCCGTGATGAGAGAGAATCATGGATTGGCTGCCTCCTGCACGCCCCCCACTGGGGATCGAGCCCGCCACCCAGGTACGTGCCCTTGGCCAGAATCGAACCTGGGACCCTTCAGTCCGAAGGCTGAAGCTCTCTCCACTGAGCCAAGCCGGCCAGGGCCAGACGCCGGCTTTTTTAAAAAATATATTTTTTACTGTTGCTAGTGTAACGGAGAGCTCCCGTTTCCAGCCACCGGCTTGCCGTGGGGGCTGGCGGGGGGCCCTGGGGCCGCGGATTGTCACTGGCAGAAAGCCCAGCCCCTCTCACTGGCTTAAATCAAACAGAGGAGTTACTGGCTCATGTGCCTGAAAACCCAAAGGATGGGTTCAGGCACAGTTTGATCCAGGCTCCCCATGATGTGATTGGCAACGATAGCGCTGATCTGAGCTGCCTGGTTTTCCTTTCCTTTTTTTTTTCTTTTTCTCTTTTATTTCTTTTTTTCCAAATATGTTTTTATGGATTTCAGAGAGGGGAAGGGAGACAGGGAGAGAGAGAGAGAGAGAGAGCGCGCAACATCAATCAGCTGCCTCCTGCACGCCCCCTGTTGGGGGCCGAGCCTGCAGCTGGGGGAATGGAACTGGGGACCTCTCAGTGCCTGGGTCCACGCTCAGCCACGGAGCCACGCCGGCCAGGCTGGTCCTTCTCCTCTCGATCCCCCCGGCGCTGGGGACGCAGGGATTGCCTGGGACTAAACGGGGGGGCTTGCGGGCCAGCCCCTGGGTGCCCCCGCTCCTGAGGCTCACAGCTGCTGCTGTTCTCTGCTGTGTCCGCAGCTCAACAACTCCAACTCCGGGCTCTTCACCGTGTACACGGGGATCAAAAACTTCAGCCGCGTCCACCTCGTGGACAAGTGGAACGGGCTCAGCAAGGTGAGCGCCGGGGCCGCGAGGCCGCCCAGCACGCCCCTGCTTATAGCCCAGGCAGATGGGAAGTGCGTGCGTCCCTCCTCCCTGGCCCCTGCCAGGGCGAGGGAGGCAGCTGGTACAGGGACAGGGCGAGGGAGGCAGCTGGTACAGGGACAGGGCGAGGGAGGCAGCTGGTACAGGGACAGGGCGAGGGAGGCAGCTGGTACAGGGACAGGGCGAGGGAGGCAGCTGGTACAGGGACAGGGCGAGGGAGGCAGCTGGTACAGGGACAGGGCGAGGGAGGCAGCTGGTACAGGGACAGGGCGAGGGAGGCAGCTGGTACAGGGACAGGGCGAGGGAGGCAGCTGGTACAGGGACAGGGCGAGGGAGGCAGCTGGTACAGGGACAGGGCGAGGGAGGCAGCTGGTACAGGGACAGGGCGAGGGAGGCAGCTGGTACAGGGACAGGGCGAGGGAGGCAGCTGGTACAGGGACAGGGCGAGGGAGGCAGCTGGTACAGGGACAGGGCGAGGGAGGCAGCTGGTACAGGGACAGGGCGAGGGAGGCAGCTGGTACAGGGACAGGGCGAGGGAGGCAGCTGGTACAGGGACAGGGCGAGGGAGGCAGCTGGTACAGGGACAGGGCGAGGGAGGCAGCTGGTACAGGGACAGGGCGAGGGAGGCAGCTGGTACAGGGACAGGGCGAGGGAGGCAGCTGGTACAGGGACAGGGCGAGGGAGGCAGCTGGTACAGGGACAGGGCGAGGGAGGCAGCTGGTACAGGGACAGGGCGAGGGAGGCAGCTGGTACAGGGACAGGGCGAGGGAGGCAGCTGGTACAGGGACAGGGCGAGGGAGGCAGCTGGTACAGGGACAGGGCGAGGGAGGCAGCTGGTACAGGGACAGGGCGAGGGAGGCAGCTGGTACAGGGACAGGGCGAGGGAGGCAGCTGGTACAGGGACAGGGCGAGGGAGGCAGCTGGTACAGGGACAGGGCGAGGGAGGCAGCTGGTACAGGGACAGGGCGAGGGAGGCAGCTGGTACAGGGACAGGGCGAGGGAGGCAGCTGGTACAGGGACAGGGCGAGGGAGGCAGCTGGTACAGGGACAGGGCGAGGGAGGCAGCTGGTACAGGGACAGGGCGAGGGAGGCAGCTGGTACAGGGACAGGGCGAGGGAGGCAGCTGGTACAGGAACAGGGCGAGGGAGGCAGCTGGTACAGGGACAGGGCGAGGGAGGCAGCTGGCCACGGGCGGTCGTGGGGCGTGGGTGGCCGTGGCAGGAAACCATCGAGGCTGCGGGGGGTGGTGAAACAAGGCCTCGATTGGCGCCGTGTGGCTGGGCCAGTTTCCACCTGGGTCCTGGGTGCGGGGACCTCTGGGTGCGTCCGCCTGGGCCCCTGGGTCTGGGAGGTGCAGCCTCGGAGGCCGGCTCAGGGGCGCCCGGGCAGGGGTCCTATCTGTCCCCCTTCCCATGGGAACTCCCCAGCGTGAGCGGGGGCTCCCCTGCCTCCCGGGTGGGCAAGGCGCTGGGGACATGGCCGGACGGGATGGGACGGGTCCCTGGTCCCCAGAGCTTGTGTCCTGGCTGGGGGCCCAGGCCGGTGTGCCCCGGGGGTCAGGGCAGGAGGGGGTTGTGTTCTGTGTATTCACTTTTTAAATTTTTATTTTAGTTTTTAAAAATATATTTTTACTGATTTCAAAGAGGAAGGGGGTCACCCCACCCGTCTGTCCCCCCAGGTCCATGAAGCTGATCTACGAGGAGGCCAGGGTGTTCCAGGGCATCCCCACCTTCAGGTTCAAGGCCCCCAGCACCTTATTTGCCAACGGGTCCGTCTACCCGCCCAACGAGGGCTTCTGTCCGTGCCTGGAGTCCGGCATCCAGAATGTCAGCACCTGCAGGTTCAGTACGTGTCGTCGCCCGAGGGCGGGACGGTCACCCCGACCCCTGACCTCAGGCCCGAGGGTGGGACGGTCACCCTGACCCCTGACTCCAGGCCCCAAGGCGGGACAGGTCACCCTGGCCCTGTGACCTCAGGCCCAAGGGTGGGTGGGTGAGGCCATACCTGCTGTGCGTTCTGTCCCCGGCCTCTGCGCCCTTGATAAGCCGGTCAGGCCAGAGATAAGGCGGCGCAGAAAGATAATCGGAGAGAAAGAAGCCGCGTCTGTCAGTTGCCTGCGCAACAAACTCCCAGGACCTCCGTCACCTGGGACGCAAACCGGGACTGTAAACAGCTGAGTCCCGGGTCAGGTCCCCGAGCCGCCCTGTGGCTGCGTCCCTGACCTTGGTGGAGTCCAGGGCCCTGCAGCGCTCGGTCATCCAGGCTGCATGCCCCACCT